CTAGCAATTGTGTTCACACAACACCCTAAGCTTGGTTTTAAACTTGGTTAGAGTTTTGTTTTGTTCTGTCGCTTACGTGTTGTCTGCACCCAACCCTTTGATTAGATCACGATTCAATGCATAGTGTAAACCCATTGACTGATTGGTTATGTGCCATCCAGTTGCTGTCGACTCTTAGCAACCACATAGGTAGATTTTCTCGATAAGTACAAACCCATACGTTCAGTTAATTCAATAATCAGGCTAATTGTGTCATTCTTCAAAGTATAGGCAACTCTGATCCAGCTGAGATTTAAATCTTATCTAGAGGTGAATTCAAAGACATTTCATGCTGATCTTATCTTGGACTTTTTTTTTGTTTTTTCTGGACCTCTTTTGCTTTGTAAAAATTCCCTACCTCTTGGTAGATAAACCACAGTAATTTCCTCCCTGTACATACCTGTAATCAGAGATCCGGAGATGGGATCACTTTCTTCAAACCCTTTGACAGCAACAACAGTGACAATATATTGGATCCCAGGGACCAGCTCTACTAGCTTGATTCTATTTTTGCTTCCATCAACTGTCACAGATTTAGGGCCATCTGGAACGGAAGATGAACAGAACTGTCAGTCTGGGCTTTCACAGAGATTTTTGCCTTAAATTTCTCATTCTTTCAGTTGTGTGTAAGCTTCCTTCTTAAAAAACAAAACAGAACAGAACCAACCACCACCGTCATTCAAAAATGCTGGAATGCATTTTTCTCAATTCACACAGGTGGCAAATACGTCCCCCCCAAGATCTGTTTGCCAAGACATTTTTCCAGTATGTTGTGCCTTTGACAATCATACACACTTTCTTGTACACAGCATTCCTTAAGGTTTTAACTTTTTACAAGCCGCTTCCTTTAATGTAATGCATTCTGTATTTGGTTTAACCAACGTATGCTTCAAACTAGGATCTATGATCAGCCAATGTAGGGAGCCAACCCTGTTTCTCACCTCCAGTTTCTGGAGCGTAGGAAATTCGGAAGCTGTTGACCCGGGTCAGTGGAGCCTTCCAACTCACCACCGCTGAATTTTCAGTTATTTCTGAGAAAGCAATTTCCTTCGGTGATCCCACGGCTGTTTACAGAGAGTGACAGGAATAGAAACAAAGAGAAGAAGTTAATGCACACTTTCAGCAACTTGGTGGGCTGGGGAAAACTCACAGATAATGTCTTGGGAGACGGAGCTACAGTGAAGATTTGAGCCAGTGTTATGACTAGAATGGAAAGTTTCATAAAAAAAAAAGGCCTTTGTTGCTGCTTGCAAACAATTCTCTTGACTGCCAAGCTTTTAATTTTGATATTAAACCTTTTGGCTGGGAAAATAGCAAAATAAACGCTGCATAAATGAAAAATCTCTATTTCGGACAATGAATAATCTCTGTTTTGGACATTATGTCACCCCTCCCCCCCCAGGTACATAGGGAGCTTAATCATCATGACTGTACATTTTAGGAATTCAGAAATTTTAAAAATATGGTGCTTGGATATTTTTAGATATCTTCTACCCTTCATCATTTTTTTCCATTCATGTTGCTTCTTATCAGACTATAAATCAGAGAGCAGGAGTAGCCTGTATTTGTCGTTCTGTAAGCTATTCTACTATCTTTTCAGGTTAAAGAACAGGGATTCATGGCTTCAAGTAACTGAATGCATAAATACACACACACACACACTTTGTTAAAATGTGATAGAGTTGAATCTCTCTACTTTGTGAATGGGGTGGTCTCCTTTTTCTTTAAAAGTGCATGACTATTTAATTTATTTTAGTTCTGGATAAAAATCACATGCAGATCAAAGGTAGTCAAGCTTACATCTTTTAAAGCAAGGTTTAAACAGTTTGCAAAGGGAAATATGCAAGGAACAGCAACAACAAAAAAGTTCCCAGAAAGTCCCAGAAATCTGACATTCCAGAGTTTATACTCAGCCTTTTCTTAGAAGAGTGTCCAGTGTAAGCAACCATTTCTTTTTCTTTTTAAAAATCTGTTTGTGAAATAACTGCTGACCCAGAGAATGCCCATTAGCAAATGAGACCCAAACATCAGAAACCACATTAAAAGTCAGTGAGTGTGCCATATAAAGCGTGATTAAAAGTTTGGGCAGAGGTGGAACTGTCTTAACATGTCTGCTTCTAAATGCAAATTGTGATTTTCTTTCAACATCCCCAAAGATGAAAGTTATTGAAGGGGTTTGACAGACAGAGAGACAGAGAGGAAGATCAAGATGTAAAATCCTTGATTTGGAGATATTTGCCTTCAAATGTTAATGTCTTGATTACTCAAAAATTCATCAGGAAGAATAAGTCTGAAAAACCTACATCCAAACGAACAAGTTCCAAACTTGTTCTTCAGAACTGCCTTCTCTTAATTATCTGCTGAAATCAAGCTGTCAAGGATAACATTTTTGAAGATGAACTTCAAAAGATGATGCTATTATTGGTCTGTCTGCTGTGATGCACCTCTGCAAACTTCACATCTGGTATATCCATATCTGTAATAGCAAAGAAATGTCTCTGCGGGGAGGGAGTTATTTGGTAGCTCAGCTTTTTCTTCCTTCTTGCCATCTTTCCATGCTTTTATGAGAATAAAAGTTTATCTTTGGTAAGTTTTGTACACAATAAAATCCAGTCCCATCTTCCTACTTCGACTTCACAAAGCATTTTTTACTATCAAAGAAGTGGGGCGGGGGGAAGTCTTAGGCAGCCAGAAGGCACTAAATTAAAAAGCTAATTATGTTTCTCTCTCCTGGGAGTTATGTGTTTCCTTATCTGATCTATTTGTCAAGAATATTGATGGGCTTTGTTCTATTATCAATTCAATCTTAGACTGATTTTTGGGCTCCTAAATCTTCTCTGGAAAAGGCCAGCTAAGACTTTGTCATTGGGGAATAAGACAATGAAAAACAGGGGTTTCTAAGAAGTCTTGCTATACATTTTCTATGAGTTGAGATGGGGGGGATGGGGGGACAGGACAGGGAAGAAGGAGATGTTGCATAACTAGAGACAGCTTAATGTTTTCCTCTCCTATGTGGAAGACAAGACAACTAACTAAAATTATAGGGTTATTTTACATAAGGGGACCAGATACCAATCTGGCATTTATTTGTATATTTTTTTAGTTGTTCATGGCAGAATGGGGAACCCACAATCTTCCAGAAACGGCACAACTATAATTTCCAGTAGTTCCAGCCATTGTGGCCAATGAAGAGGGCATCTGGGAATTCAGATTCAGCATTCAAAGAATTGTGGATCTTTCACCTTCACTCAGCAGCAACAAGACTCTTTCTCTTGATAAGCATAGGGACACCCTGTGGAGCATCGAGTATGCAGTTTGAAGGGTTAAGACCCGAACAAAGATTCACCTTGATGTTGAGGATTGGACCTGAGAAAAAACACAGCTCCTCTTATGCACCCCCTTATCTTCTATACCTTAAATTTCCTCTCCTCCAAATCAAGAGTTACTTTTTATGTTTTGCAAGGCAAGAGGGAAATTGAGACAGGGAGGAATAATCTGTGTATATTTACATTGCCTCTTATTACAGATTATAGACCCTGCATTGCAGTTTCTTTTAAAAGTCTTAGCAGGTCTGAAATCCCCAGCATACCATTCTATAATTCAGATTTCAAACTCATTTATGACCTTTAAAGAACAAGTTGGATATGCACAAAACTATCAAGATTCCAACCTCTCCCTATTCCATCTCCAAAATTTCTATTTCCCACCTCTACAGGAAATAAGCTTTCCAAGACCACTGATTTCAGTCATAATAAACACACTCTTTGGGAGGGTGGGTGGATTTTCCCCTAAGTTATTCCCGGAGGTTCTCCTAAACTAGCGTTTCTATGTATGCCACTTGGGCTGTACAAGGATCCTGTTTGGCACTCATATTCTGTAGGATGGAAAAAAAGGAAATGATGTTAGAAAAAAATTGAAATATAGAAGACTAAGAAGGATTAGTTCAGTCAAGAGTCAGAGAGAGAGAGAGAGAGAGAAGTAAAGGGACCTTAGAAAGAAGAAATCTGCAGCAGTTGGATTATCAGTCACCATGAGCACAATACAACAGAGTTTCCTACACAGAAGTCTTGTTGAAAACAATGGGAGACATGCCAGGTCTTCCAGTTTGTGGGTAGTGCTGTTTTGACTATCTAAACATAGCACACATAGAGTGAAGTTTAGAGGAGTTGGGTGTGAAAAATAGATTCTCCTGAACCAGAGAGTAGGACAATTTGCCCCCCCCAAAAGGGGGGCCCAGCTAACACTCCACAATCCTATGAGTCTGTGTTTATCATTGTTTTCAATGGGCCTGCATATGAGAGCTGATCTGAGGATTGTGCTCAACGTTATTGGTTGGAAAAATATATACAACACACACACACACACACACACAAATGCAAACACAGACACACACATATGCATGCATGTGGACAAACTGTGTGGTTGTTTTCTTTGGCAAGCTAGAGGCAGACCAAGATACCTGTCATAGCAATTGAATTTACAGGCTGGGAACGCCGTCCATTGATAACTCCATAGATATCTACATAATATTCGGTGCCTTCTTTCAGCCCTTTTATATCTTGGGTGCGTTGATGACCTGGTATGATTAACTCCAGAGGGTCTAAAAGCCTGTTGGAATCCCTGATTTTAAGAACAAAACTGTCAAAGGCTCCATCGTCTGCTGTCCAGGACAGACGGAAACCATCTGGGGTAGTGTCTGACACCAAAAGATGGTCCACTTCAGGTTCTGCTTCTGAAATTGCAAAGAAGGGTTTTAATGTCCTTTTTTAAAAGTAAAAAAAAATCCAATAGACTCTAGCTCAAGTTAGCTTAAGAAGTGAACATTCCGACCGCAAGTCCAAAGGGATGGAAATAAACGCTCTGCTATTTCAAAGTGGGGAGGAAAAGGCATTCAGTGATTAATAGAAAGATACATTCCAAACCAAAGACGTAGGTGGCATGGCCAATCTTCATAGAATCCAAAGTTGCACTGATATATAAAACCACACTTTCCCCTACCATGCAAAATTAAACATGCTGGTAGTAAGAGTGATGCTCATTCATTCTCTGTCTTTCATCGGAGTCACTTATATTTTTGCTGTTATTTATTTATTTATTCATTTATTTTTGGCGAGGGGAGCCAGTTTCTTGTAGAAAACCACGAGCGATGCCACTGGAAGTTCATTTTCCAGGTAAGCTTCTGTAGCTTGACTTTATACAACTAAGTTACCCGGGGCACCCAAATCAGAACAACCTGGTACACAATGTGCATTTGCCAAACTCACAACAGTCAACTATATTCCAAGTTGGGCACTATCTTGAAGGTGCAAATTCTTACCTGGCTTAGACTGTAGTCTCAGCTAGAGTATATTCCTGTGTCAATTTTGCTGTGGTGCAATTTCCCACTTTAGGAATTTGATGTGCATGCCAACACCAAGATCAAAACCAGGTCATATTTCCTAATATATCCCCGCCCACCATTTTTCTTCAGGTGTATGATTGTTGCATGCTGTTTTTCCTAAGGACATGCATATGAGGGCATACATTGCCTTAAGATGCATATGTTTGCTCCAATTTCCTTGCGCAATGCACCGTGTTCTGCAGAGTTTTGGAAATGCCAACCATCTCTGAAAGTGTGGATTTTGGTCCTTGTGCTTGAGAAAGCAATAAATGCATATATGCACCCTCAGCTAGGATACACCTCCAATCCAATAAAGCTCCAACTGGAATCGAAGGATGGTACGTAAACCCATGATGATTGATCATTAATGCCTTGATGGAGCTTCTTAACGTGTACAGTGCCTAATTTTAAGTAGGATGGTCAGAATAAACTATAGGATTGAGGCTCTGTGGTGAAGCATTTGAGGTCCCATCTTCAGCCTCTAAGTTGCTTGGGAATGCCACATGATAGAAGAGTTGTTGTAGATCAGAGAAGACAGTGCTAAACTAGACAGACTGAGATGGTATAATGAAGTAAACTAAAGCTTTCCAAAAGTAAATCCTCCTTTGGAACAAGGTCAATCAAAGGCTGCCCCCAGAAGTAAAGTCTCCTTTTGAGTCATGCTCAGCTTTAGATGATAGTGAGCTTGTTTTATATTTAAAACAATAATGCTAAATTAAGATCACATGACGATGGATCTCAAGGTTGTTTGAAAGATGGAGTACTGAATTTTGGAAGCACGTCTCTGCTTTTCATGTTTGGCCAGCTATCTAATGCAATGGTATAGAAGTCTAGGAGCTAACCTAAACATCAGCTTGATCGTTCTGGATTATACCATCTTCTTTTTCTAGAAATTGTTTCTTCAAAGACAGAGTTGAGAGATAAATATATTAAATTTCAGGAATGATAAAATATGATTTTACTCTTTTGTTAGGATGGCAAAGATACCTGAATCGTTTGATGCATCTCCACATTCTGTTGTTCTTTTAAATGTTGGTCCATTGAGAGACAGGAAGGAAATAGAGAAAGAGATGATAAAGGAGATATGTTAGTGAAAGGGTCAGTAAGTGGTGGATGAAGGAAGCCATGGTTGCATGGTGAACGGAGAGGACATGAAAGACCTTCCAGAGAAGGAAGGCAATGGGAGAGAAAGGAAGAGCATTCCAGTTTCATTTTTTTTTTTTTAAAAAAAATACCTGTTAAGGCAACAATGCTTAAGGGTCTTGTTTGGCGGCCATGGAGAAAGCCGAAAAGAAGGACTTCATACCCAATGCCTGTTATGAGACCTCTAAGGGTTAACTGGCGCTGGCCTCCAGAAAGAAGGAATTCCTGGGGATCTAGCAGTTTGCCAGAATCCACCACGATGACCAGAAAGCTGTCAAAGGCATTCTCTGATGCCATCCAGGACACTGTAAACCCATGCGGATTAATGCTGGAAACTGTGAGGTTTTCCAGTGGGGGCAATGCTTCTGCAAAAAGGGAAGGGGGGTAAGAAGTGCTGAGTTAGACAGAGTCGTGTGTGCCATTTGATACAAACCACAGGTCTCCCAAAAAGAAGGGATAAATAAAAATAATAATATGCTGTGGAATTAGCTATGAAAAGATCATTTATTGGGCATGCATGCATGTCCCTTGCTATCTTTGTGGCTCACCGAGTATGGGAATAGCACACTACAGCCTCCATCAAGCCTGCTGACTATAATTAGGAGTTTTGTGTAGTGGCTGTACACAAAGTTTTGTTCATGTTACTCTTGGCTACGTTTGGGTAGCTTAGCATGTTGTGTTAACCCAGACCTTTGGCCAGCTTATGGTTCAATATATTACGTAAATCCCCAAATGGGCTAATTTGGTGGCCAGAGTAAGCATATATTGCAAATGCTACTATGAAGTTCCAGGATCATTAATCTCAGTATAGCAGCCTGATGCCCTTCAAATGTGCTGGGATTGTGGAGTCCTTGGGGTTCTCTGAGCTTGGCTGTTTTCTTCAAACATTTCATTACCTGGCCAGGTAACATCTTCAGTGCATTGAAAACATTATCTAGCTGGGTAATGAGATGTTTGCAAGAAAACAACCGAGCTCAGAGAACTCCAAATACTCCACAGTTCAACCCTGAGCTACACATATTTGCTTCTATTGTGTTGGGATTGTTAATGCCTAGAATTCCTGTTCAAGGAATTCTAGGATTTCAAGTCCCAGTTCATCTGGGGGGTTCCAAATCAGAGTAAGTGGGTGGAAATCTGATGGACTGCTTTTTAGTAGAAAAGCAGGATACGGGGGAAAAAAATGGGCAAATAGATCTAAGTTTGTCACTTAGCAGAGCAGTCCTATAGCATTAGTTTTCAGTGAATGTAAGAGGTTTTTTCACAGTTGTGTGTGTGTAAGACTGGGTGGTGGCTGGCTGAAGCAAGGGGACTAGCCAACATTCAAATCAAGGAGGATCTCTGTGGATTCTAGAAATACCTTCAGTTGCATGCCTAATGCAGAATGGTCTGAGTATTAAACCCGGGTGCATCTGGTCTTTTGAGTAGACATGCGTGGGGTTGATAATTCTCAGTGGACTTTGAATTGGGCTTTCTGCATTCTCTCTCAGCAGAATTCTGCAAGGAATTGTACCTTCGCCCTGCTGAAAATGGAAGGAGGTAAAACCTCAATCTGAAGAGCTTACAATCAGTACAAATGAGAGTGACCAATAAGACGCTGCTGCTAATACGCCATTCACAAAGTGGCCCGATTTTAGAATTGGGTTCCTTTGTAGGGTTGCTTGAAGACATCCATGGAGGCATTTATGTTTGAAATAAATCACTGTATGCATACTAATGGCAACTCCTGCTTTTAACAATAGACAATTCAACACTGCTGGTTGGTCGAAAGAATAAGTGCTAAGATTTTATGATAAGTTCTTTCTTGTAAGTTCTTATCAATCCTTTCATTTGGGAAAGGGCGGGGGGACTCATGCAAAAAATGGAACAAAACCAAACCACCCATTATTTTTGCAAGGATACCTGTCAGCATCAAAGAGAGGAGGGGATCCCCGTGGTCCCCATCTGTAGTTGTGCCCTGAATGTTAACCTCATAATCCATATAATCTACCATGCCTGAGATGAGGGTGTCGTGAACCTCCTCTGAGACTGCCAACTTCAGAGGCTTCTGAGGTAGGTGAGTATCTCTAACATTGACTGTCAAGTGTGCAAAAGCTTCCTCTCTTGTAGTCCAGGAGAACTCGTTGAAATTAGCATTTGTGAGTGTGAATGTGCCCAGCTGTAGCTTTAGCTCTGAAGAGAGAAGGGACATAAAGGGGGAAAAGACAACCATTATTGGTGGAGATCTGGCTGGCAAGTTGATGAAGGAAGTGCCCTATACAATTGTGACAAGTCACTCTGATGTGCTGCTGGGCTGTGATCACCAATCATGTAGGCAGCGTTGGGTTAGGATTGAAACGGAGTGGTTTCATGGCTTATTATGCCAGAATCCAAACACGATTTCATGGTGACCTCCAGATGCTTGGTTTACTCATGGAGATAGTCCTTTTCCTTTCCTAAGGTCAGGCATTTGACTTGGGGAAGGAGAAGGAGACCAGTGTAAGAAAGGTTTAGCATTACAAAAAGACGTGCCTGTTTTGGGTGAAGAATGCTGGAGTGGCCTCCGTTAAGGACTCATGCGAGAACTGTATTCAAGTTGTCAGAAAGTGACAAGCAGGGCCAGCCGGTAAAGGTTTCCTGCTGTAATGTTCAAAATCTATGGAAGCATGAGTTCAGCGAGATGGCTAGGTTCCTTAAAAGTGAAAGAACACATAGTGGATAGATAAAATATATGTTTCCATCAGACTTACATGCAGTTTGAACGTTGCTTTCTCAGTATTCATACTCCTTACAGCTTTGTTCAAAGCATGCTTTTGCATTCAGATCAGGCATAATCCTTGGGTCTCAAAGGTTCTTACATGCAGCTGGATATGAGAAAATCTCCCAGAGATACCGATGACCACAAAATTGTCCGGAATCCCTCTGAACTTGTGTCACAATCCACTGATAGTTTACAAGGCAACAGTAGAAGTCTTAAGGAAGAGATAGATTTGGTTTTTCTGTTCTGGATACTGATCTAGTATCCAAATATATGCAGAGAGTTCAGACAGAGAAGATGCTTGGAAGATGCATGCAAGTTTTTGCTTGATGCACTGCAACATTGAAAATGCAACGTTCTTCTACACTTTGGAGCAGATCTTTGGTTCTTACACAAAGCAGAGAGACCATCACATGCAAAGAACCATTTCCTAGAAAGTCAAGATCACCGGGAGAGCCAGACTTCATGATGAGGAAAACCAAGGCAGGCAACGAGAAAAGAAAATCAAGATAGAAGTAGAATGGATGCTGTGAATCAGGTCCAGGCATGTTCCTCAGAGATGCCAAGTAGAACAAGTATTGATACATATATTTTCCTAGGCATTATGTTGCACATAACACTTCTAGATATATGTATCTAAATATGCACACAGAAAAAAATCGAATTGTATGTTGATTGAAACATGTCCATTTGTAAAAGGACAAAAGCTCCATTCATCAAACTGCCCTAATTGTGGGAACGCAAGCATCGTGATTCTGTTATCTTGCCTTATACGCTCGCTCAGGTTCCTAGATTTCTGAATTCCCCAAGAGAACAGGAACTAGAAGAGATGGTCTTAGAAGACTAGATTATAAAGCAAAAGGAATCACTGAAAAAGCAAGTGATGGTGATGATACACTTCTGAAAGTTGGAATTGGCAAGGTCTGTTGAGTTTGCCCATCCACCCGGCCATGAGACTGAACATTATAATTACACCTGAACTTATATTAGAGAGAACAAATCTTCACATGCCCTCAGGAACAGTGTGCAGCTGAGAGACCACAAACTGGGTATTGGTGTTATTATTGTCTATGAGAAAAGGGCAAAATGGGTTTCCCACAGCAGAAACAGTTTGCTAAGGAGAAATGCAGAGTTTACAAGGAAGAAGGAACATATATCCACACCCACACCCTTGATTCATACAAATAGGAATAAACATTGAGTAAACATTTCAAAAGTTGGGTACATTAGACTGTGGGGAGAAATGTTTTGGGGAAAACCCAGAGTAGGGTTTTCTACATCTACATCTACATCTACATCTACATCTACATCTACATCTACAGGGAAGACCATCA